GCATAAGTGAGGTTGAATATGTGTATTCCGAAGACGACAGGACAAATGGGGCCTGAGCGTGGGCCGAAGGCCAGCCCACGTGTAGAGAGACGAGACAAATCCTAAGGTGACCGCCAAACGTCCGGTAGTCACATAAATAATGCATTTCAAAGGGATGCAGCATTCTTATCATAAAGTTAATCTATTACACAGCTATCTGTTGACTGTGAATTTCAGACCTTATTTTACTCTGTTCAAATGAAGCAAAACTAATGTCAATTAGGTTTTTGTAATTCCTTATTTAGTTGTTCATCTCCTGTTTTACAGTCATTTCAGTGTTCATTTGCTCTTGGTTGGGTGGACTGATGTTTGAGCCAGGCGATGCCTCATGCGGTGTGCCCTCTTTTTGTTTACATAAGACCACTCATGTCTACTACCTTCAGAGATCAAAGGATAAGGAATGGGACGTTGCAGTTGTGGTACATACATTCGTTCCAAATGTGCCCTGGAGATTGGATGCTGGAGTCTAGTTTGAGCGCCGTATTTTTAGAAATAGCCGGCACAACTTAAGCTTTACCCCTTCTCTTCACATACCTGACAAAGTACCTAGAAAGTAGGTTCCTGAGATCTTGGTCAACTGTGGGATCGGCAATAATGACATCGAGGCTGCAAATGCAAATATCCAATTTTCAAAGGTTTGAAGAAATCTGAAGCCCATTGTGGAATATTTTGCTTCCTCTATCGTTTGTCGAGTTCGGAAATGAAAATGTACGTATATGAGTTAGTATTAGCTGACTGCTGTAGAAAATTTGATCAGGTGGTTGGTATTCAATCAACCATTTTAAGGTAAACACACTGTTGGAATCGATGCAGACCTGTCTTGGTACATCTTGTTTCCCTTGGCCTGAATGCAGTAGCTCAGGCACTTAGTCGATGTACACAAAATGCACATTTACTTGTTACAAGGGTGTCTTGGTGATACTTAGATTGATTACAGAAAAAGTACGGGAAGGAGCTCATTAAAGACATGTTCATTTGACCAAAGCAGATGGGTATGCGATAAAATAGTTTAGATAACCTTTCTGCCTCCTTTGTAGGCAAAATTTCAACACGCAGTCAAGGAGGAGGATACCTTTGTAGGAATAGCAACAAGATCCTGAAGGAGGCCACGTAGATCCGTGAGGACGTTGCGCAGTGATGCAAGACGACAGTCCCACTCAACGCGTGCCGGTTGGTCGGGCGTCCAGTCTTCTGGTCTGTGGTCCGCCATCGACGAGGTGTTGGTGGAGGATTGAGCGCTCACCTCAACACACATCTGGCGTAGTTGTTGGTAAATCTAATCACAAACAGTTCCGCTAAAATCACCCCACTTGCTTCGTCCTGGCAGCAGCGAGGGCGCTGCCACCAAACCAGTATAGA